GGGGGGGGGCTTGGTTTTGCAACAGAACATTTAATCCTCACCCTCCGTCCTGTGTGAAGCATGATGATCGATTTGTACCATTCTCTTTTCTGAGGAAGTGTCACGTTGAAACCGTATCAGGCTGTCATGGCCGCACTGCATTTTCTGAAGTCTGCCCTGGATGGAGAGACACACAGAGAGTTGGAGGAGGAAAAAGTTATTTTTATTTTTATCTTCATTCGCCACCCTGAGCTCTGCTGCCGCGCAGAAACGTTTTGGGTAATCTGTATTTGTTTATGCACAACTCCGTGTGCGTTTGTGCCGTGGTATTTATATGAAAGATTGATGTCGACCAAAGTGCCTGCCACGCTGCATCGGTTTGGGCCCACGCTGAGCAGGAGGTGAGGGAAGGCGCATGTGCCTATCAATAATGCAACCTCCGCCAGGCTCTTTACGGAGGTGAGGGTTGGAGTGCATGCAATGAATAAGACGTAGAGAGATCGTGTTGAATTGTTTGATTATGGAGTTTTGGTAAAGGACGGAATTATTATAGGTTTAGTGTACGGTATTTATGTACCCTATTTTCTGGACTATAAGTCGCACCAGCCAAAAAATGCAAAACATATATCGGTATATTTTACCAAATCTGAGACCAAGAACAGACATTTGATCTTGTTATGATAATAATTGAATAGAGAATAACAGGGTGAATAGGTGTGTTTAATATATAATTTTAATATATATGTTACACCTGAGTATAAGTCGCATACCCAGCCAAAGGATAAAAAAATAGGGTGACTTATAGACGGGGAAATACAATAATAAATCATACCTGAGTATAAGTCGCATACCCAGCCAAAAATAGGGTGACTTATAGTCGGGGAAATACAACAATAAATCATAGAGCAACTGCAATATTTTGTAATATATGCATATAATAAATATATAAACATATATGTATATAAACATACAAATATATATGCAACCATTACAGAAAGGTCTGGGCTCATCATAGACGTCATTATCTGATGAAAGTGTCAGTTTATTTCTCCATTAAAGTTTTGTTTTTAATTATTAATAAAAGCACTGATGAAACTTTTTTTTTTCAATAAAATTAACACTGTTAAATACTTTTCTAATCCAATCAGAATTTATTGGAAAAACAAAACCGGATGCAATTAAAAAAGCAAGTGAAATTAAAACGATCTCTAACGTAACCTGGAAATGTGTGTAATTTACTAGACGTCGACAAGGACCAATTATAGGTCTGTAATGAAACAGTTTGCAGGAACAGGGACAGGGTGCTTTGTTGTTGACTTGAAAAGGGAAACAATACATCACTGAGGTGGTTAATGCACTTGAACTATATTTTAATCAGGAAAATAAATTATATTACATTGTTTTTAATTAGATTTATAATAAAAACTTGTTTACTACAGGGTGACATGTTCTTTATTTTCTAAATGTACTTTTAATCACTTAATATTAGAAGTTTTTTTCAGTCTGAGTTCACGGTCCAATTCTGGGATGTGATTTCATTAGGAGCTCGACCTTTTTTTAAGCAGGAACGATTTTTTTTAAGGAGTGTTGGGTTGATCCTGAAAATATTTTTAATCAAATATTCTTAATCAGTTAGATTTATTATATTCTAATATTCAACCTGAGACAGTCAAAGGTCTAAGCACTCCTACTGAGACATCTATTTCAAAAATTTGTCAAAATTCTAATATAATATCATATATTTTTATAGCAACTCAAGTGTGATTTTTGTGTAAAAAAATTAAAAACCTGCGACAAAAACCTCAGCGCAAACCTGACAGTCTTTATGTTATCGCAGCGTGCCCTCATTTTAGTTTTATTGTGGAGTGAAGAGTGGCGAGAGCCCGAGGGCCAGCAGAGGTGACATAATGTCCCCTCTCTAACTACCAAACCACACGGGGCAAACAATGACAGTGACACTGCTGTTTGTGTGTGTGTGTGTGTGTGTGAGTGTGTGTGCAGCTGATTTGTTTTTGGTAAATACTATTGTTGTGGGGACACTTTTGTGGAACATTTTCCACATCCTCACTGACTGAGAGGCCATATTGGGTTTTCAGATTTACTTCAGGATTAGGGATGAGAATTACAGTCTAGGGTAGGATTAAGTCAGTAAAGGTAAGGGGCCCAGAAAAGAGGGTAATGGTTTGTGTGTGTGAGAGAGAGAGACAAAGGTCAGGTTGATGTACTTCTATCAAACATTAATAAAATGTCATTTAATTTTTATAAATCATTAAACCGAGTGTTGATTACAGGACCCTACAGGGTTTTTGTTTTTGTCTTGGTGTCAGCATTCCAGAGACTAAAATAACATCCGTCTCATGTTATGGTCTATGAGTGAGCAAAAAATGGGATTCTGAGTACACTATTTTTACTTTTTAGTATTGTATTAATCCCTACAGGGAAACGGACTCTCTGAACTCCAATAATTAACACAGGAGCTGTCGCTTGCAGTTTCTAGTCATGCTAGACTGGGGTGTCAAACATATGGCCCATGGACCAAAACCGGCCCGCTGGGAGGTTCAATCTGGCCCACTTGGTGAAGTTCGGTGAATTTATTGCTATTTATAGGTAATTATATAATGATTGTACAGATCCAGCCCACTTGACATCAATCAGGCTGAATGTGGCCCCTGAACTAAAATTATTTTTGACACCCCTGTGGTAGACATACAGGCGACATAGGCTGTAGGGTTTCTAATTACACATAAATATAGATTCTGTATTCATCTGGCACAGAAGACCTGAAACATGTGGCTGCAGAACCTGTCACTTCACCTTCCCATGCCCTGTCATGCTCTGTCAGTAAAGTTTGTGCAGCCGAGAACCTTGTCTGGAGCTCTTGATGTAAATAAAACTCCGTCGGTGAAGAGTCAAACTGTCGCTTGTCATTACATTCACTTCCTCCCTGTCTCCGCTTCTACTTCTGATGCAAATTGGGCCGAATGACAGCATCAAATCACTGCAGCTGGTTCCTGATGGAGGTGAAAGGTGCAATCACATCACATTTCTCACAATATGGGTGCTGTGGATTTAACCGTTAAAAAAAAAAAATACTGCTGACGACTTATCTGCTACCATGTCGGTTAGAAGGTTAATGACGCAGACGCGGTGACGCAAGAGTTTTGGAGCAGCCTGTCACTGCCTGACAGGGAGGTCCTGAGAAACTGCTGAGTGAGGATGCACGCGTGAAAGCGTAACCGCTGACGTTGGTAGTCAATCAGTATCTGTCGTACGGACAACCCTTTTCCAGGACCTTCCTCGTCTTTACCTAAACAAACATTAGAGCTCACTCCTGTTCCTGTGTGTTGCCCTTTGGGAACATGCATGCACAACAGTGCTCGCTGTTCTTGGAACCTGATTCCATACTCAGAACAGACACTGGCTAATAAAGCTGACGGCCGACTTTCTTCTCGCTGCTATAGCACCCTGGTGTTTGACTCCCCAGCCTCTGTGACTCCTGGGTTTCATCCCCCTCAGCTCTGCCTCCCCCGCCATCTGTCTCTCTCTCTCTCTTTTCTGTTGTATTTCCCCATCCATGTGCTGTATGTTTTTTAAAAGCCATCACTTTAATAATATTGATGAATGCTGTTGGTTGGAATTTTATCATCTGTACTTTCCCTCTCTCCCTTGAAAGAATTTATATAATTTCTATAATTTTTATCAAACCAATTCATTAGCTTAGCTGATGGGATCAGACCCCGCCATCTGGTTCTATGTACGCACAAAAAAAAAAACAACAACAAAAAAAAAACCCTTACTTCTGACACCGCTGCCACCCTGAACCTCTTTAAACCGTTAAATAATTTCTTCCTTAAGGCCCGCTGATTTGTGTCTCACCTCAGAGAGTAAATCTTAACTGGACCAGCTTGCTACAGATCAATAAAACTGACCCTGGGTCAGCCGAGTAGTGGATGACAGATCTGGGACCAGGTGTCGTAAAAAGTTTCTGGTTTAGTGGGAGAACACAAAACAGTGGAGCATAAGTCGTGCTATATGGGAAGAAAGGGCGAAGGGAAGGGAACGCTGTGATGAGAGTGAAGAGATGCAGTGGTTTTTTTCACTGAATTAAATGAACAAACACAAATATCTCATTAGAAGAACCAGAACTAAAGTCATGAGATAAAATAAAATCCACCGTCGACTCTCGCTGTTTCATGCACTCACACTTGTGAGAGTCTTGGCGATCACTCAGGGCACGTGTCGGCGTCCTCTTTCCATTTGTCACACATGTCCAGTCTTGGCTCAGTGCATCCTTACACATCTCTCTCTCTTTTTATTTTAAGCGTGCCCTCAGTCTGCACTGATCTGTAGTTGTACAACATCCGTGTAATGATTTTAAAAGCAGACCGCAGCATTTGTTTTAATTTAACGCATCATTGCACCGGCATGATTGATTACAAAGATTAAGACTAATGTAATTAAGCTAAAAATAAGTTCCTGCCATTAATGCTGTGCTTTTCCTGACAAACACTTTGAGTCTGAGGAGAAAAAAAACAAAAGTGTTTCTGTTTTAAAGACTTTTCACCTGCCTTAAAGCTCAGCAGATGTGAAGCCACAAATATGCATCTAGCTTTAATGTGCAGAGGTCCATTCTATACAGAGCCAGAACATTAGCGGGCTGCAGAAGTGCAGCGACAGCCGTGTTGGTGAGGTGATCACCTAACATCTGGCGCTCTTTCCCCCAACATTTTCACTTTTCTTTGGGCAAAAATAGCTCTGCAGTAATCCTCAAACAACCTTTTCGTTTCACTACTACCCTCAGTGTAACGACAGACCTTTCCACCTTTATCTTTCTGTCTACATTTAGACTAATCTAGAAACTCTGGACCCTCGTGGTCGAACTCCTCTCCACCTGGCTGTGACACTGGGATACCTGGACTGCGCCAGAGTCCTGCTGCAGCACGGAGCAGACGTTAGCAAGGAGAATCGCAATGGATGGACCGGTGAGTGTGACCGCACGCATTCTGTGTACAATCAAATCCTTGAATTAATACTGGACCAACTCCTTCTAACACAGGAGTGTCAAACGCATTTTGGTTCAGAGGCCCAGATGTCAAGTCAGTTGGACTTGTTAAATCAAAACATAATTACTTATGAAAAACAATAAGTGCATGTTCCTGCCCTTGTTTCCCTGCAAATAAGTACAAGAACATTGGAAAATATTAATACTTAATGAAATATAATTTAACAAAGTATCACCAACATGAAAAAAACAAAATTCATCATGCAGTTTGAAAGCGGATTGAACCCCCTAGCGGACCTGATTTGGCCCGCAGGCTATATGTTTGACACCCCTGTTCTAGAAAAACTTTTTTTTTAAGCAATACTTCTTACATTAAGAAACTTTGCCAAAGGTAAATGCAGTTATTAAGGCAAGTAATTATTACTCTGTGGTATGAATATAAACAGTGAGACAAATATGAATAAATAGTGGGTTTGCAATGTACAAACAGTATTTACCATGAATATTTAAATGACCCTCAGAGGTGAACGCCATCATTTCAGACTCATTAATATAAAACTGCGTCTAATTACCATCCATCTGGTGATGTCATTTGTATGGAAGTAAAAGATGGAAGTCATCTGTTATGATACACATATCAATCTGACTTCCAGGACAGACAGCTGAGACCACAGTGGGACAGACAGACCCAGAACCGTCTCTGGGTCTGTTTGATGCAAAGAAGCAGCCGTGCATTCATTTTGTGCAGAAACAGTACACAGTCCAGTCCAGTATAATTCATCCCATAAATTGTTCATAAAGAACAAACAGTTCTGGGAGCAGCGCCCCCCAGCTGCACCCCTGCTTGGAACTATTTGCAAACGCGTCCACACTTTTAATTCCCACTGGTCGGATTTTCATTTAAACTGATGAGAATTCTGCTCAGTTTTGGTCCCTGTGTGACTTTGACTGCATTAGACAAAAGGACAAATCACCCATAATGCCTCTCTCTGCTGACTCTGTGCAGTGCAGTGAGGCGGTAGTACAATTGGCAAAAAAAACAAAAACAAATGGAATTAAATTTATATGGAATTGCACCATATCATTCAGTTTAACATCCTAATTTAATCCCTATCTAGAGATAACACTTGTTTTATTCCAAAAATGAGCCGTATATTGACCAATAAACATTTTTTTTAAATTGTAGCACGCCTTGTGCGCTGCGTAGCACAGTGAAAGTCTATAATTGTTAGCAGCAGCTCTTCCTCTGGCCTACTTCAGTTCCACTTCAATCCCCACCGGCCCCTAAACTTCTGGAGAACATCAATTTTAGATGAGGCTTCAGTGAACGTCTCTGCTTTACTCTCACTCTCTGTCTGTCTCTCTCAGTTCTCCAGGAGGCGGTGAGCACCAGAGATCCAGAATTAGTGCGTCTCGTGCTCCGTTACCGTGACTACCAGAGGACTGCCAAGCGACTGGCGGGCATCCCCGTCCTCCTGGAGCGGCTTCGCCAAGTGGGATTTCACACACATGCACACACTGAGTGGGAGAGGGGAGGGAGTGAGAGTGGAAGAGATGCTGTGATGTGACCACACATACATGAAACATAACACAGACCAAACTAAATCTGCAAAGGCACAGGCGTGGGATTGGTGAAGTGTCTGTTTGAAAATATTTAAATGTATAAATAATACTTGTGAAAATATATCCTTAATTGTTTTGTAAATATATTTGAACACTTGCTACACAAGGTAGGAAATACACGCAGTGGATGCTCATTCTTGATTTGACTGCCACCTGAATTGAACTACTTTTGATAAACCTGGTAATATGTATTTTCTTATCTGTACAAATCACTGTATGAGGTGCTGCCACCTAGTGACTGGAGGCCTGGTTATCAGGCAAGAATTACAGCAGCAGCAGCACACTTTTTGTCCAGCATTCCATGTTCCATTGAAAGCCTCTCACACCTTACCTCCCCCCGAACTCACCCCCTTCCCCAGGGGTAAAAGTACTCTCTTAGCTGAAGGCAACAACCTTCTTCTATACATTTGGGCTGTAATAGTGAGATGAGGTCTAATCAGTCATAACGCGTCTCACACGTCAAACCTCTACCGCAGCAGAAAGAAATGTGTCAAAAAAGTTGAGTCCAGTTTTTCTGTTAAAGAAAAAAACTCTTTTTTTTTTCTTCTTAGATACGGTACAGAACGAAGACAAGACAAACGCATGTCTGAGTCCAGTTTTTCTGTTAAAGAAAAATTCTCTTTTTTCCTTCTTAGATACGGTACAGAATGAATACAAGACAAACGCATGTGTTTAGCTTAAAACTGTCAGTTACTTCTTCCACCAACCGCCCAGCACGTGACCTCGTCCCTGATCTGTTGTTCTCAGCCACATTATTCTCAGCCTCTTCCTCGGAATCATGACTTCCTCTCAGTCTCCGTGTCTCTATTTCATTATTATATTAATACTTTGGTCTCTGCTTCCTGTGCTGTTCACTGCTGCTCAATGGCCATTTCTGCTCCTCTCCTGCTCTGTGTCCAGGCCCAGGACTTCTACGTGGAGATGAAATGGGAGTTCACCAGCTGGGGTGAGTGCAGTCTCTGCGTCAGTCCAGTGTCAGTCCTGTCAGAACTAATCGTGTTAACGTCTCCCTCTGGAGCTGAGGAGGTTTGATTCTTCCTGTCAGAGTGGACTCAGAGTGCACATACACACACACACACACACACTTCCTGCCCAGCTAATTGTTAACAGCATTTTAAACCCCAAACCACAAGTACACGTATCTTCACAACAGTTTCTAGTAAGCGTTATAAATGAGCGTCCACTGAAATGAAAATAATGGTGCTGTGAAAAGAACGACCCACGAGGAGTAAAAGTGTATTATCTGCTGTAGCTGCTGATGAATGTGGTGTGTGTTTAATGAGGCACACCGAGGTTCAGACCACATCTGTGTGTTTGTCCTCAGTGCCCTTGGTGTCACGGATCTGCCCCAGCGACACCTACAGGGTTTGGAAGAGTGGTCAGTGTCTGCGTGTGGACACCACCCTGATGGGCTTTGAACAGATGACCTGGCAGAGAGGAAACCGCAGCTTCATTTTCAGGGGTCAAGGTCAGGGTTTGAACTCCACCGTTGATCCACAGTACATGCATGACCGTTCTGCCAGGTTACATTCATATTGAGAAATATTACCCATATTATTATACTATATGATTATTAGGTACATTTTCTTTCTTTTCTTTCTTCTCCGACCTTCCACCTGAGTCTACATTTTCTTTCTTTTCTTTCTTCTCCAACCTTCCACCTGAGTCTCTGACCTCAATCATTCTCTCATATTTCTACTTTCTTCCCCGACAGACTCTCGTGCAGAGGTGATGGAGGTCGACCACGACAGGCAGCTGGTGTTTTGCGAGACTCTGCCCGTGTCGTCTCTCACTGCCCTCTCACCCGACCGGGGGAATCCCTGCGCCTGCAGCAGCACCGCCACAAGTCTGGGTGTTCTGGGAGGGATGCAGCCCAGTGACGAGCAGGTAGCAGCCAGACTGACCGCACCTGTGGTCACCACGCAGCTGGACACACGCAACATCGCCTTTGAGAGGTCAGGCATCTTCTGAGTTACAGCTCCCAACTCTCAAAATATCAAGGATAAACATCAGGGTTTTGATTTCCTCAAGTCCATGCAGGAGTAATTCTTCATCCTGCGGCAGCAACAAAATCGCTGCAAACAGGAGATGGGTTTTACTTCAGGCTTGTTTTCCTCCCTCAGAGGGTAAACACATCACTCCTGAGCCGTTACTGTTGAGTGACTTTCACTCATGTTCCACACATCCTCACACAGCCTCGCCGCAGCCACAGTGACACGTTCTTTGATAGCTGTCAAAATGCACATCACAAAATCAGAGAAACTGAGAAGGAACAGAACCAGAAGAAATCAGAGTCATGGAAAGTGGTCAGAGCCAAAAACTAAAGGGTTAAACTGGGTCATTTGTTCATCAAAATCACTTTTGTTGGTTTCTGTCATTGTGACAAATGTTCTCAACTTTTGCTGCAGTTGCATTTTTAGCCTCATGCTGTACCTCATATTAGAGTTATTATTAACCAACTAACTAGAAGGTAGGAGACCAGAGAGAGTGGATGTGAATCAGGAGAAGACAGTGACGACGGTGGAGGAAGATTTGATGAGAGATTTTATGGAATTCTGCCGTTAAATTAAGGAACAGGAGGAGAAGATCATTAGTGATTTTTCACTGAGCGCTGTTTTAGTTTCTGTTTCAGTTTCAGTTCATGCACAGGCTGAAAACCAGAGTGATGTTTTTTCTGGAAGCTAATTATCAGTGAGATTTTTGTGAACCTTGAGAGCAATGAGTGTTTGACAGATGAGGGAGTTAAGAGGTTGGTCTGAAGGAAAATAAACTTGTAATGAAGTAAATTATGTTACTGGTCTGGTCATCTGTGACAGGTTTTGAAGTTTGATTGTACATCACATTATTAAATACACTGAGCTGAAGCGAAGAAAACAGGTTTGTTTTTGTTTTTACAGTAATTCTCTTTTTTTGTTGTATAAAAAATACATTTTTTATTGGAATGGTTTTAAAGCAGTCATTCCAGTCAGAGTGTGAGATAAGACTGGTGTAACACAAAAGGAATGGACCTTCAAATGGCAGAACAAGAGACAGTCTTGGTCAGAGAGAGAGAGAGGGTAAGGAAGGGAGAGAGAGAGGTAAATATAGAAAACCAGAAGACCCAAAAAGTGTAAGAATCTCAGGGGTGAGAGAAGAGTTGATGTTCGGGCCACACAGTTAAAAATGGTAAATCAAAAATTAATTTGTCTTCCACTGCGTGGGCGATAAAACACTCGACTGTGGGTTGGAGAAAAACTGCAAAAATAGAGTAAAACCAAGGAAGTGGATGTTACTGGAGGAAATAGGAAAGAGAGCAAAGAGAGGAGAGATGAGTCAGAGCCGTGGTGACGGGGTAATCGTCTCCCCGTCAGACTGTCAGAGACCTCAGTGTCACCTCTGAGCACACTTCCTTAGTCAGCACTTCTCTCCACATGCCAATATTTT